CCTGCAAAACGTGAAACGATTATTTGAGATAAGCCAGCGATATGGAAGATGCGTTTAATCGCTACTAGTTTGACAAACTTCGCGATTATTTAACTATCTTTCGAGTGCGGCGGTGAACGCTAAAACAAATTTACTAAAATGGCCTGCGTGGCTTTCAGGCAGATGGTGCATCCGAACCTGAATGTAGCCGTACAGGTCCCTTCATAGGGATATTTGCTGTCAACCGACTATCTTCATCTCTAGATGCACCCTTCTAATTAGCTATCGCTTCAGATCCTTAGCAGAGTGCATGTGAGAAGCGACATCGCATTCAAAAGCCAGAAGTCCCAGCCGGTTTAAAACTGGTCTTAGCAGGTTCAAAACCAAATCTTTCGGCATCACTCGAACTTGATTATTTTATCAGCGTGTGAAAAGCGACTTGCAACTCGTCAAAATCGACCCAGAGCAACCATATTTTCAGACACGTTTAGCCGAATCTGAACGCTTTTTTGAAAAGTTTCAAAAAGAAAACGAAGAAACAAATGAGTCCGCAAAGCCGAATTCACATGTCGCGAAGCACGCAAATCCCTCCTCTTTTATCGCGAATAAAAGTGGGAAGAAAGTCGTGTATGACGCGCACAGACCCCCGAATTTTTTTTTTTTGACTTCTTTCGTCACCTCTCTTCGTGTTCTTGTATTACGAGTGTGCCGTAAATTTTTGCACTTATTCGCTGGTTGAACAGAAAGTATTCCTCTCCAGAACTGATTACATTCAGCCTGTTAAGCAGAGTTGTTGAAGTAGACAACTTGGATCTTCCGCTGCTGTCTAGGATTACCAATCACATGATACATGAAGTTGAGCAGGTCGGAGACAAAGGAGTTAAGACGAGAAAAAAGAAACCTACCGATAATAACGGGACTGGAGGTAGGTATTCGTGACTGCTTTGCTTCTGTGTGAAGCGGAACCGAAATCAATAACCTTGACACGAAATGGCTGGCTTGTTGGATCAACTAACATTATATTTTCGGGCTTTAAATCGGCATGAATCAAGCCCAAGTGCTTCAGCTTTAGCAACGCGGTAAGCACCTAAATAAAGCAATGGATATAAAAACTGACAATCCAACTTCTCAGGTCAAATTATGACTGCTCTGCAGTTCATTTCGCGATATCCGGCCCAAACGACTTCTACCCACTTTACTGCGCTGCAAGCCCGGCGTGTTCATTCGCATTATTAAAGAATGCAACACCGGCAGTAAACAAACAGA